ATGTAACCCCAAGGAGGCAGCTCAAGAAGCCTGTGTTTCCATTACCTGGCCTAATTATAGCTTGAGAATCTTTTTGTACCTCCTCAGCTTTCTCCACATTCATTATTTCTCAACAAAGATTCCTGCACCTCCCATCCCCACCTGTTCTAACCCAGCCAAAGCAGTGAGCAGGACTGCGGGTGCAGAGCAGCCTGCAGCAGTGCCTTGCAGCTCATGCATGCACCAAAAGCACCCGACAGAGATGGGCACCACTGCCGCCTGCACCACTGGGAGGAGCAGGTCTTACCTCCCTGCACACAGCACAGAAGAGCTGATAAACATGGCAATGTTTGCAGATGATCATGAAACCGAATAAAGGCCAGGTGGTACAGCAGGCATTGCACCCTCCATGTGAATCACCACACTCAGCACAGTAACCCCTTCCACCCTTCTCTCCTCTCCATCTCCTTCTTCTCTTTTCTCGAGCAGTTATCACTCTCCAAGGCTGTCATAACCCCGGGCTCATTACAGCCAACAATTAGGGCTCACTGTAAGCTAAGTATGTTTGTGTTGAGTTTTACCAAACAATGAATATAAACCAGGATTTGCTCTGACTGCAGGAATCAGGGGTCAGAGCAGCCCCATCGATTGCTGGCTTGCAGACAAAACATGGTCTCAGTCCCACCAACACCTCAGCAGCTCCCACAGCAGCCCCAGTCCTGCACCATAATGTGGTGAGCAGGTTGGCTCTGGAGGCTCTGCTCCCCACAGCAGCCATAGCACAGGGAAAACCTCTCTGTTGCAACGTAACATGCATCGATGTGCTTTTGTTTCATTTACCTTTCATTTGGACTATTATTACAAGGCAGCACAACTTTCATAACCGTGCATCCATTATCATCCGAGTTATCCCTCCAGGAAATTACGCTGAAGTATCCGAGAACCAAAAGATGAATTACACGTTGTAATTATAGCGGCAAGCTCGCTGCTGCAATGGCTGGGAAGATATAAAGCAGAAGTGGGTTAGGGCTGCTCACAACCAAGGAAAACAGGATCCGACCCAAAGCCTCGCTGCTGGGAATGCAGAAACAACAGCACAGCATCGACTCAGCAGCAGCCAGAGAATGGCACTGCGAAGGATTACAGCTTTCTGCCCTGTTTAAGAAGGATTTCACATGAACAGATTGAAACTGAAATCACTGTTGAGTATTTACTCCAAAGGCGATTCTCGTCTGTTTGCACACAGCGCCCTTCCATGCAGCAGAACCACGTCCCCAGGGCCAGGCTTTGCTCTTCTGCCTCCAGGTCTGAGCACAGCACGGAGCACATGAGGACGCCCCATCACATCCAGGTGCTGCAGCCCGCTGCTCCCTCACAGCTCCTCGTACACCAGCACTTCAAACTTCTGCAATAGGAAATCTCCATTTCGGGGCACCACCAATTCCTTGTGCCTGCCTGGAGCGCACTGCAAGCCCTGAGGTCACACTGTGGCACAAACCCAACCACAGCCCTACAGCATGTGGCCCCTTCCCCTCTGGGGACACAGCTCATGTCCGACAGTCCTCAGCACACACAAGCTGCATCCATCAACATTTTGACACGAGAGAGATAAACACATGAAAATAGATCCTCTGGATTCTTTCAGTGTTAAAGCCTCGAAAATTGCTCCTGCAGTGAATCTGCCACACTTTCATCACAGCAAATCCTGGTGAAATCCCTGGCCTTGGGAAACAGGATAAGGCAATCAGCTGGAAAACAAAGCAAAGCTTTGCTTTGTCGCATCTCTGCCCAACACAAGGCAGCACCACTGCACTCAGCACAGATCCGTCGGAAGGCTCCTGGAGCCAACTGCCCACAGGGCCAAAGTGATCCCACACCAGCAGATATGGGGATGGGCTCAATGTATTCAGACTGAATGCATTCTTTACAGTGTCTTCATAGAACCATTCAGTTGCTCTGGTTGGAAAAGGGCAGCCTGTCCTTGTCAGAGCAGCTCTGTGCAGTGCAGGCTGGGGCTGCCCAGGCTTTGCTCCTTCTGTTCCATGCAAACCAGCAGACAGCACCTCAGATGGGGTATTTTAATAGTAGTACGAAGTGCTTGGAACAAGTAGATTTTGCTGCTCCTGTATTTTTTATGCAGAAAGAGTTGTCCCTAATTAGATAATACTAGATTTCTTGACTCACCCAAAGTAATTCAGAAATAAGACTCTCATTACTAATGGGATGTACCATACAAAGAAACCAGGCAGAGCTTAATAATGCAGAAAAATATTAAATGGAGAAAGGTTTTAATTCTTAATAAGTAGATCCATGGGTTTCATTAACTGCTGTTCAGGTTTTTTTTTTTCGGGGTCGGTTTTATTACCTAATTAATTAAAGCCTGACCAATAAGATACATTAATCTAATGGAGCCGCATCTCGCGTTAACAGCAATACTAATTAATCACCCAACTGAAACATTCCTCATTGCTGAATGCTTCCCAGTGCTAAGCTACAGACCATGGCAAGGAGAGGACGGGCTGCTCGGCCCTGCTCTGCACAGCAGGGCAGCCCTGGGGGCAGGAGGGGTGACGGCTGCAATGTGGGTCCGTCTTGACCCCACCGTAGCACTCCAGCTCTGGATACAAGAACCAGCACTGGGTTTGTGCCCTAGAGCCTCCAGTGTTTCTGTTATCAGCACAGAAGCAGTGCAGACCGAGGTGTGCACGAAGGGGCAGCGACGTCCCATGGAGCATCCCAAATCCTTCTGGTTTTCCAACACACCCTGACAGCCTGGCCCTGCAGAAACCTCCACCTGTCTGCTAACAGCCACAGCCAACAGGCAGAGGTGCACCCAATGCTGAGCTGCCAGGACCCAGCACAGCCCTGGGCAGCCCCGAAACCACAGCTCACCGTTCTTGGGCCACTGTGTGCTCACAGACAGCGCTGTTGGGTTGTCTCAGTGCAGCACTGGTGACAAAATCCCTTTCTTGGTTCAAGAAGTTGGGATCATTTGAGCTGTATCAGTCGCAATACAACTCCAGGTACTGTAATCCTCAAAAACCTCTCATTTTTTGTCAGCAGAAATGAAAAGCTACATTTTCACGTTGTGAATAAGACATTATTTATCTGCGTTTTCATTTCTGGAGTTCTGAATGCATCTCCTCCCTCCTCTTAGCACAGAGCCCTCCTCGCTCTGCCCACGTGTCTCAGTGCGGGGCCGAAGGCTGCTTGGGTGAAGGGAGCCACGGGCAAATAATGGAATCATGAAGGCTGGAAAAGGCCTCTCAGACCTCCCAAACTCAAAGGAAAATAAAAGGAAAAAAAAAAAAAAAAGAAGTAGTTTTAAGCAAGGAGAAAGGAAAACACCTCCATGAACTGGAGGAGGCGATTTGTCACACAGTGCTGCTGGGACCATCTCACAGCAGAACACGGTTTTGCTTTTCGTGCTCATTTCTCATTAGCGCTTTGCAGCTCCACCTAAAGGAGGAACAGCGCTCACCAAAACGAGGCAGCTGCGCTTTCGAACGCTGCACCCAGAAGACATCACCTTTGTTTTGCTGCTGCAGAACAGCCACAATTCCAAACAGTGGCACAAGAGTGGTCTCTTGTGGAAGCAGATCAGATCTACAGCAGCCTAAGGACGCTGGAACTCAAATCCTTCAGCCCTCCCTCCATACCTCACAAGTCACCTCCTTTTAGCTGTCACACCAGGTTTGCTTGATGTATTTTACCCTATAAAATGCCCAGAGCTGTCATACACACTTTCAAGCTTTAGATGCCCTATCATACACTCTCATATACAAACCTGCCAGAACACAGACAATGGCAATGCAGACCTAAGAGAAGCTCCAGTCAAAGCATCCTCATTCCAGAGCTGTAACACAGTGACCCTTCAACTTTCCCACAGCAGATAAGGGGGAAGAGATGACAAGGAGCATGGTCAATACAGCCAATAGCTGCTTGGGGCAGTGACACCACCTGTAAATGGGCAACCACAAGGAAGGGCAGCAGAGCATCCAGAACCTGCACTGGGTTCTCCACGGGCCAACAGAAAGGTGTTGGTAGACAGCAGCATGCAGTGCTCAGCCACAACCCATTACCTGCTCACAGGGATCAGCTCAGTGCCACCTCGCTGCCTTCCTTCACCCCACAGCAAATCACTGTACTCAGCACAGGCTGCCCCTCCAGGCAATAGCCAGGGAGACCAGGGTGGTGGGAGGAGAAGGAGCTGCTTTGTTGTTACTTCCAGTCTTCGTGCAGTACAGACGCAGCCCTCAATCTCCACTAGATGAAAATGCAGTGCATATAAATACCTTGTCCAGTAACCAAGGCAGATGGAGCTGGCAAAAAAAGCCTCCAGCAGCCAGCAACTGCTTCAGCAAGCCATTAACTGCCTGTGTGTTACTGCGAGGATGTGGCTGCAAAGTGCCTTTAATCTCCCACAGGGAAAATAAACGCTATTTCTTGCACACCTCAATTATGTGTTCCTGAGCTAAAAAGGTCTGAGGCACAGACAGAACTGAGTTCTCCTTGGCAAAAAAGAACTGCTGAGCTCTGGGTTAGGCAGGCTCTCCCTTCCTCCCAAAACCAGCCAGCAGAGTGCTTGTCTGAGCACAGTGCTGTGCTGCTCACTGTAACAGCAGTGCTTTGGGCAGTGACACTTTGTGGCTGGCTCATGAAACCTGAATCCCCTGCCCACTGTTTGTGGCACACAGGTGGAGATCCACGCTCCCCACACACACAAGACTCCCCAGGGACCTACAAGAGAACCAGAGCACTGATTTGGGACTTCATTACTTTACTGACATCTGGAGCTCTTCAGGCAGGTCAAACCACAGAGAATTTCACCAAGAGCCCCAAACCTGCTTGACCAGACCCCAGCCCTGTTTCCCTCCATCACTGCTTCCCCCAGCCCACCTTCACCTCCTGAAGTTCTCCTGTTGGGTGAACAGCAATGAGGTACACGCACTCCAATTCATCTTTCCCTGTCTTTGGGAGATGACACGTAAGCTTTATGAAGAACTACAGAAAAACACAGCTAGAAGTGGTCAAATACATCATTTTTAATGCAAAACTTTAAAATTGAAGCTCGGTTTTGAAAACTTCGCACATTTCACAAAAGCTCATTTGGTCCTTTTAAAAGTTCCTCATCCCCAATTAAATACTCTGTTGGAAAACAACAATTAAGCATACACTGTATCTTTAATTAGAAAAAAATTATATTGCACATTATACCAAGAAATACAAAACGTTTCAGCAAATTATTCCAGCAGTGTTACCAATTTCACTTACCACTGATTTTAAAAATACCCACATTAGTGCATAGCATGTACCCTGCCATTACAGAGCAAAGTATCTCAGAACACTTCTGTATTCCAAAAGAGAAAAGTCAGCACTTTGAAGAACACAGACCTTCCACCACGTACCAGAACCAGCCTCCCAGGAGGCAGGGATGCTCCTGTGGGGTGACAGCCATCGGCTCACCTGGGCAACACAAATTCCAGCACTGTCTCTAATGAGAAGCTGCCCAGCTAAGAGCTGGCACTGCAACTAATGGCCCAAGTCACCGCGGGCTGAAAGGCTGCCTTACCTGCCTGCTCTGCTCCCACTGCACATCGACTTTCGCTGTTCCTGGCACACATGAGAAGTGAGAAGCAAGGTGGCAGGATACCATGCAACTTCATTACAGCCCTGCGCTTCCCTGGGGAAAACTGGAACAGACTTTGGTGCGTCACACTCAGCTGGAACCCTGAGCAGGGCTCAGGCTTTTCAGAAGGCACAAAACACAGAGGCAACTGCACGATGCAAAACGACATTCAGAGAGCTCCACTGCCAGCTGGGGGGAAACCAGCACCAGAAACATCCACAGCACACCCAGGGCAACGTCAGCGTTGGCATCTGCTACAGCAATTTGAAGTGGAAAGTTCCAGAACGCTGTGCTTTGCTTCCACGTTACTGAGCACAACCAGGTCTGGCCCTGCAGTATTTCAGAAACCCCAGGCATTTCTGCTGTCTCTGCCCTGCACTCCCTTTATTTCATCCTCCCACACTTCTGTAGATGTTCACAAAGTCAATGCTTGCTGGTTAAGGAGAACCATTCCCAACACGTTTGGATATTAACACTGAATTTGTGTTCTGCTTTGATTTAGGCAACTGGGCAGACACTGTTTGCAAAGCCAATTCTGAAGGAGCTGGAATTGCCAGCTGCCTAAGATAGCAAAGGCAACTGATTCTATTGCAGAGCTTTGGGAAATCTTAACACATTTCCCTCTACCTCCAAAACCCCTATTAAAACACATTCATTAAAACCTGGAAGACAGGAATATATGTATTTTTTGCCTGAATACAAGATCCAGCTACCACGGAATAAAAGATTCTACAGTGAGGTCCCTGAGATGCATCTGCACACTGAAAGATTCAAGCAATAACCTCTTAAAAGCACTAACTTCATATTTATTAGAAATGTTTTGAGTTGCAATATATGGCTTACGAAAACAGACGTTATCATAAAAAGGTGAAAATACAGCAGATTAAGTTTGCCCTTATTTTAAGCCTTAATTTAAAAACAGTGAACCCAACAGTAACCTTCCACTGCTTCAACTGCAGTCAGCAGCAGCATCTAAAAAGCATGTAAGCAATGAGGAGCCACTGGAAAAAGCTGTCACTGGATGAAGTTGTTGGGCCCCAGCTTGCTCTCATCCCTCAGAATTCAGCTGCCTTCCTCCTGAAAATTCACACTGCTATTCCTCCAATGCACCTGAGCTGCAATTGAAGATGGTGGGACGAAGCACCAGCAGTTTTCTCACTGGAATCCAAAGGCACAGCCTGCAGTGCACTCCAGCATGGTGGTGAGCACTGCCAGCTCCTGCAGGCACGATGCAGTTGTGATGGCACGTACCAAACTGCCTCGTGACAGAAGGATGAGCTCCCACCTCCCACTGACTCCTGCCTTGGGATGATGCAGAGATGGTCCCTTTACCCATTACAATGACAGAAAATAAACCCAGAAGCATTCTTTGGGTTGGGAACAGCAGCTACGCTGTTTCAGTTTCTCCTGCCGCTGAGGAAAACATAAGGCACTAACATATTAATGCTGTAAGGAACGTGAAACACTTTGTTCTGCACAGACTCATAGCAGTTCTCAGCATCTCTCTGGAAGAGGCACCAGGCACACGGCAGGCACTGTGACTGGAGGTTAGCTGCTACAGCTGAGTGGCTTTGAAGTTTTGCCCGCCCCCCCCACCCTACCCCGCACTCCCTTACAAAAGAAGGCACCAAATTTGTGTTATTACTGGTTTCTGTAGCTACAGCCCTTGTGACTGCACAGCTCTATTCAACTGTGCACATGAGGGATCTCATGACTTATCCTGACAGCTTCTTATGAGATCAAGAGATTTCAAGATACTGTTCAACACAGAGCGTTTTTGTTTTAGCCAAAACCCACTGCCAGTGGGTCCCTACCTGAGAAGTACTTCAGATTGTGTATTGCTGGTCAGAATAACCCGATAATTAAACGTGGTGTTAGAAATTGCACTTTCCCATTCCTTCCCCAACCCCACAATCATTTCAAATTAAATACCTGACCCTCCCTTTTCCAAAGGGAAATCTGTAATGCAGCTACAAAGAGGTAGCTAAGTGGCACGTGCCAATTTTTTTTTCCTTTTTCCTCTTTTGAAGTATATCCAACCTTCATTTTCAACATTTTTCATTGGAAGTCTTAAAACAGGAGATCTCTATTTGGGTGGCACATGGAGCTTCCATAGTTCAGAAGACTGAACTCGTAAGGGAATTAAATCTCCCTTCATATCCATCATAGAAAACTAACAAGCACAGGGACACCCACTGGCAGCACACACAGCTGTGCAGCTGAAGAGGAATGCCCAGAGCCAAATCCCATGCTCTTCCTGACACACGACAGAAGTTACTCTGAAGAACCATTCAGATCAAGCCCACCATCCGATCGATCTGTCTCATGTAGTTGCTCTTCAATGGCAGCAAATATCTCCTCTCATCCGGAACTCTGTTACACTGGTAACAAAATGAGAATATTTTTAAGAATAAAACCTGCCAACGGTCAATCCCATTCACATCCTCTTTGGATAGCAGTCATTTCAGCATTGATGACCACAGCCTCCTTCCCAGCACAGGAAGTTGTAACCAGCAGCACTTTCAGTGCTCTCTCCCCCTTCCTTTACAAACATGCAGCACAAACATCAGCAAACAGCATTTCTCCAGAGCAAGCTGCAAGTTTCCAAATACAAGCCAAACTGCTGCAGCTTGTCATTCAATCAATATTTCCTTCACTATGACAACTGTGAATGTTTTGTGCTGTTGGGTTTTTTTAAGATAAAATGCTCCTTTTCTAGAGGACAGGGGAGGGAGGGAGGGAGAAGGAACCATGCTAGAAGCTACCAGCTTAGAGACTTAAGAACATGTGAATTAAAAACAGAACTATTTTGGTTGTTGATAGGCAATGGACCCATACTTCTGTACTCAGTCAATTGCTGTTCAAGAGAAATCACCTTTATTTACCTCACACCCTCTGCTCTTTTCCCTCTCCATCACAGCAACAAAGGAAAACTTCAAGGGCAAGGAAAAGTGGAAGGGAAAAATATCAAAATGAACAACGAAGAAACTACTTAGTACAAAATAGTCAAAAGAGGACAGGATTCACCTTCAGCATCACCCCTCTCACATTACCTCACCTGTTCACTTCCACGCTCAAGGGTTTGTTTTAACAAAGGAGCTGCTTGGCTATTTAGAGCTTACATAGGAAACAAAGCAGAACCCTGCAGTGCCACCCCCAAGCCATTCTTCAGCTGCCCAGTCCAGCCCAGCACACAACCCTCCAGTAACACCACAGGAACCTTACATTAGAGCTGAAGTTGACGGCCTTTAATTCGTTAGGTTTAACTTTTTCTGTGCTGTCCTCTTCCCCAGGGAGGATATCCTGCCACAGCGAGTTCCGAAAACGTTCATCCACAGACACAATATGTCCCTCAGTAGTAAACATATATTTATTTCCAGACTTATGCACTGGATTGTCTTCATCAAATAACTACAGAAGAGAGAGATGGAGCTGAATTAAGTAAATTAAGCATGCACGTTTTTCAAGTTCCCCCATTAAGAAGTTAAAAAGCACAGTCACAACAGTCACATGCATCAGATCACACAGTCATGCATCTGAAGGATCACATGAAAAGTGTGCTTCTTAGTGCCTAACTACTGTCAGGGCAAACGGGAAGAAGCAGTTTTAATATTTCAGGAGTGAAGAGAGCAAAACTTCTCATACGACTTCAACTGCCCTCACTTTTCTATGCTGTATGTCTTTTATGCAGACATTTTTAGTTGGCATTCCACTGCTGCTATTCAATCACACTTTTTTTATAGTAAAGGACATTGAGAACAGTAGCTTAAACCACACTGCCTCAAATGTTTTCTCCTATGACTGCCAAAGCCTGATAGAGAGTAATTGAAGGGCTGCTGCTATTCATCTAAAAAGGCCACAAGCAGCAACTCAGCTGAGCTGCAGCCACCTTCAGTCTTACTCCCCTTCCTTGCAGCTTCCAACCCTGAAAGAGCTGCCAGCTGTTTCATTTCAGCACAGCGAGCCCTTACAAACCTCCAGCCCTTACAAACCTTGCTCAAACCTCCAGGATTAGAGTGGGGTCAAAGAAAGGAGTTGCACACTGCCACTTAAATACCTCTGGTTCCCCAGAGCCCAGCACAGTTTCTAACAGTTTCAGCCTTCTCGGTGTGTTTGTGCACAAAACTTGCAAGAGAGTAACTGAAATGATTGCATACATACCAGGTACAAATATTTACATGTTTCACTGAGAAAAAAGCTCTCCATTCGATCTTCTTTTGTCTTCTCCACCACATGGTGTAAGGTAGCATAGCCACACCTGCAAGATTTAAGTTTAGTTTGGGCTTAGAACTCCTCCCTAAGTACCTCTCAACTTCAGACCGTTCCAATGCACTAAGGGTGAGGTTGAAACAAAACAAGTCTCTTCTCAGGAAGCACTGACACTTCTGCTATCCTGATGGGACCGGCACTGTGGCTGACTGTTCCACTGTGCAGACTTATTAACAGCACCTTCCAAAGAAGCAAGGTGCTCTCCAATTACCCTGCATAAACAGGTCATTTCCCCACATGAGAGAGACAGTTCTGGAAGCCTGCTCTCAAGAAAAGGTTTGCTGCTGAGCTACCTACTACTTTTATGGATGAAGCTGCAAGCCATCACACAGTACACTTACCATTCTTTCAGCCACACCCCTACACAGCATCCAAATCCCATTTAACTTCAGAACACTACAGTTTTATATGACATTACAGCTATGAAAGCAAGGCAAACACCCACAGCTAAGCAAAGATCCATCATCCTGCCCTTATTCCCTTCAAGAAGTTCAGATATGCATAACAGATGTGCAGGATTCCCTGCTGCTGGCTGGAAAAGAAAGCTGATGTGCAGCAGCCCAGCTTGCAGGCCATGTTACCAGTTAGTTAAACAACACAGGCCCATGAGGTGAGAATTACTCTTGCAGGAGCCTTAGGAAAACAATGATGTTACCAGTTTTTGCCAACCGATCATCAGTAACAGATTTTAAAGAGTAGCTGTAAAATTCTGAAGGCATATAAATTTGTCACTGGACAATAAACTTCATTTTCAAATGAGAAATATAATTGTTCAATACATAAATAATCACTAGTGGTTTTCATGGAGAATCGGGTTTTCTGGTTTACCTACGTTTAGCAGATTGGATTCTATATACAAAACAGATACAAAACAGATATGTATATAGCAGTGAGAGAAGGCAAACAACACTGAAGACTGACTTCGCTTTTGTGTATTTTTCCAGACTCTGTAGAATATCCATTCCCACATGAAGGTAAAATGGGTTCTTTGTGGCCTAAACAAGGAAGAAAAACACAGGCAGAGTCAGAATTTTGGAAATCTTGTAAAAGTAGCACTTAAAGGCACAGCAGTATCAGATTCTCACGTGTTACACTATCCTCATCTTTATAGGAACATGACTTAGATTACTCTGTGCAAGAATGCAGTAAAACTCTGCAGTCAAGCTCTGACAGCTTTCCTACAGCCAGAAAGCCATTTCAGTTTACTGCATCTGCTGCCAGAGACCATGCCTGGACAACACAGCAGAGAAAGCAATTACATTTACTTCAGTGATTTCTATTAAGAAGTCACAAGGTCTCTTCTGTGTAAAAATCTGCCAGCTATTCTTGAACAGGGCGTTTAGTCTGCTTTCGCTTTATGTATTAAAAAGGCTGTTTTCAAAGCAAGCAACATAGCAACTTCATAACATAACAATCAACCACCGAAACAGAGACCTCTCTGTAAGAAGTGCAGACACAGAACCATGAAGTTCTAGTGGCTCAGTACTCAGCAGGGACTGCAGGGGGGAAAAAGCGACTGAAGAAAGTCATCTCTGCCAACACACGAGCTGTAAGCTGGGAGTAATGAAGTACCTGGTAAAGAAGGTAGGTGGATTCCACCAGCTCTGGCCTCAGTGGATAAAAGGGAACATCCGGTGCTTGCAACTGCCAGTTGTATCTTTCTGGGAGAGCTCCATATCGCTTCCATATGGCATAATAAAAAGCATGGAGACAAATAGCATCTTCTACGTCTCCTATCAACACCTAGGTATGACAACAGCCATAAGCATGCATGCTTAATACTGAAGGCCAGCAAACTGCTCGCTGTGTACAAGAACACGTCATACAGTGAAACACTGCTCTCTCACACATACAAACACTGAGGTTACACGAGCAAGTTACAAAGCATCTCAAAGCTCACATAAAGAGGCCAAGCCTTCCAACGCCGTAACGCTGCACTGAAGCAATGTTATTCCAGCACAGAGGCTGAGTTGTCCTAGAGCTCTCTCTTACCAAGCAGCCAGTTCAAAGCCGCAGGTTAAAGCTCATCTCAGGAGATGCTCAGCCTCACTGACAGGCTAGGATCAGAATGAGCCTCTCTGAGAACTGCCCACTGCATCACGCAGTCTTTAACAGAAATAAAGTTTGCTTTACCTGTAGTCCAGGAAAAAAGGCTTGCAAAGAGTCAATCCACGTGTTCATCAGCTGTCCAGTGAACATGTTTACATTCACATACAAAGGCGGGTCACCTTCACCTTCATTGCAAGCTTCTCGACTGCCAAGGAACCATAAGCACGTGTAAACGCTCACTGCTTTATGAGAACACAATGCATGTTCAACTCTCAGCACTGCCAACAGCAAAGAGAACAAGCTGCAGTTTGTCAGAGCTGGGCTCAAAGACATCATGAAAAGCACAGACAAGTCCATCCAGATCTCAGAAAACTATTTACATGCATCATATCCTTCAGCTACATCAGCAGAATCCCTACCGAGAAGCATAGTAGGTAACACCAGGCCTTAAGAAGTACTACATTAGCTAATTTAATACACTGCCTTCACAGTTCTACAGCCTTCTCTCAGCCTAGGGTTTACTGAATTGGATGGTAACCAGCTCAGCTTCTTTGCACCAACAGTGCCATACAGACCATAGCTTTCTTTCCACAGTGACTACCACAAAAATAAGGTTTTCTTCTTTGAAGAAGAGAACAGAAATTTTCTAGAGGGGGACCAAACATTATATAAGCCATCATATCTTACTAGAATATATACATTTTTAGAGATATGAAACTCATATGATGTAACATACCCCCTTCTTAAGTGGTTCTGAATGTTCTGATAAGCATCAATGAACATCTCTAAGTCTTCCTTCTCTCCAAAGAGGATGTAGGACTTGAGGAGGTATTCATAAAACGAGTCTGATCCTGCTCCCAAGCCACTCTGCTTTCCAACCCAATGGCCAGTTTGAATATTCACAACATTTCCTGATAGAACAGACAAAAGCTTTAGTCTAACATTAAGTGCATCAGAGAAAAAAAACAATCAGACAGGAACTTCAGAATACAAAACTTCCAAAAAGCCTTAGGAGGAATAAACAGAGATTACATTCAATGCAAGTGCTACAGTGCATTCATCCCAGGAGCTGGAATACACCTGCTCTTGTTTTAAGTACCAACCTCAACCATATTAACAGGAAGAGAAATGCAGACCTCCTGGTTCATTTCTCAGATTCATGAAAATTTTGTCTTCGGAAACCCATGCCCTAAGGACTCTCACAATCCATTTTTCTAATGAAATTGTGAAGTGCTATTAAGCCAACAGAAAGCACAAGGAGAGCATGACTTCACAGCTACAGATGCAACAGATCAACAAAGTCTTTAATACACGAACGAAACCTGTGGAGTGACAGCATTCTAATACAGCCAGACAATACAGCTCCACCTCAGAGATTACCTAGCAGTCCAGTGTTGTTACTCCTGAGACTCCAGAGTGCTTTGACAGCTCTCCTGGCCACCCACTCAAACGTGGAATCACCAAGCAGCCTGCTCAGAATGCCAAACTCCACCAACAAGGAACCGGCTCCTGCAGTGCAAGTTTCATTATTGCTGTTTGGAGGAACTCCCTTCTTCAGGTTGACCTGCAAAGCAGAGGAAGTGCTAACAGCAACCAGGCAGGCTGCACCTCACGAAGCTGTGCTCTGACCTGCAGCCTTGCATTTATTATAAGGCCTTTCTTGATTGATTTTTGCAGTGCACCAGAACCGGCACATCTCTGCTTGGCCAAATAACTCACAGAATCATAGGATGGCCTGGGTTGAATGGGACCACAGTGATCATCTAGTTCCAACCCCCCTGCTGTGTGCAGGGGCACCAACCACCAAAACCAGGCAGCCCAGAGCCACATCCAGCCTGGGAAATTCCTGAAATTTATCTTCCAGCTTTATAATATCACCCTTACGGTGGGAAATCCTCCTTTTTGTCATTCTTACACTTGCTAACCTCTCCAGAATTTCAAGCCACTCTTTCATCACTCCTGCTAAGTGTTCAGGTTCTCCCAGGAGTGATGCAAGCATTCCTTCCCCTACTTCAGCACTCCTCAAGTCAAGAGTTTCAACGCTCCTCAACTTCCCTATGGCACAAAGCTGAAGGGAGGTTACACCACCATCAGCTGCCTTACCCACACCCTGAGCAGAACTCCTGCTCCTAACACCTGACATGTGTGGAAGAAAAGCACTGCTGCTGAACCCAGCAATTCACACCAGTAAGGCAAGGATTAGTTTCATAGCTGAGAACTCTTCTTCTAGAACTTGTGTCTTTTTTCTTATGTGTTGAGTGTTTAAAAGCAGAAGGCGCCGCATTCAGGTATGCTGTAGCATCCTTGAGTCCTCACGGAGCAGCACTCCAGACAGTGACAAAATCCAAGCCCAACACAGCAATTATTTCAGCCTTATTTTCTTTGGTCACCACGATTATTTTAGTACCAAGTCTCCAGCACAGGTATTTTCCCAGACCATTTGCCCTTGCTGTACTTCTCATCAACCTTCTCACTGACAGCACTGTTTGTTACTGTGGAAAGCACAGGGCAGGGCACATCCCAGCCAAACAGCATGGAAACAAATGACTACTGACCCACAGGCAGCAATGTACACAGAGCAAGGAAACAGCCTGAAGAAAACATTTACTAGGCAAGAGGAACAACTTTTATACCACTCATTTCACCACAGCTTACTGCAGTTCCTCCACACGCCCCATTTCAGTGCAACTCAGTGCAGGCTAGAAAGCTCAGCTGCACGAACTGGGCACAGAACTTCAGCTGCAGGACAGGAGAGCTGCTGCTTCTAAACTCCCTCCACTCTTTGTTGACGTGCTCACTTACCCGAGGATACGGAATCCCAGTTTTGGTGTTCTCAAATGCTGGCAGCAGTCTCACTGCGAGGTCGTGAGCCATGTGCAGCAGTTCGTTGTCATAATCCTTAATGGTCATGTCACCAAAAGGCTGTTTGGCATCTGTAATTATTATGTGGGCAGAAAGCAGGCTGCCCAAAACCCTATTGGAAAAGGAAATGAGTTCCAGGTTTTAAGTCTAATCTGAACCTAGTTCTCCAGCTAAACCCTCACCAGCAGCACGTTTAACAGCAGCACTGCTTTCTGCTCCTTACAGACACTACAGAAAGAGATCTTTTTCCACCACTGTTTGTTAGTGAGAACATCCAGAAGCCATGCTGCTTTTGTCATCTGCAGAAATCTCAAGATCTTGTTCTGCAAAATTCACCTCACCCAGGAGCACATTCTACCCTACCAAGTCTAAGCACAGACCACATTCCCCACCTTTTTTTTTTTTTTACTGCTGCAAATGACATTAAGTTTGATATCCAAACCTAATACTCCCCCCCCAAAATCCTAGTGAAGTTAAGCAGCAATTAAATAAACAGATTAAGGCCGCAGTTCAAAGAATGAAACCATTCAATGTCAGATGCCATTTTAAACCCATCTCTAAGGCAGGCAAGTTCTGTTTTTCATACGAAACAAAACTGAAAGCAAACAGAAGATCCACGGAGGATGATCAAACCATGCAAGCTCATCAGCCGGCCTGTTTGTGGTGCATAGAGCTGAGTCTGCTGCAAGATGAACGACAGAAAGCAGCAGGCTGAAAGCCAAAGACAGCTGAAACTACCATTGCACCACAGCACACGTGACTCACTAAATAACATCAAACATGGAGAGATGCAACACTTTCATGGCATGCTTAGAAAAAAAACTTAGCCAAGAAACAATTATGTACTAAAGGCTACCAAAGAAATCCTTACCAGCGATTTTGTTTTGAATCTGTAGCATATGCACAGCAAGCCTTTAAGCCTGGTTCTGATTTAGAGCTACATACCTGATGGTTGCCTCAAAAACCTGGACTGTTGAGTCTTTGTCAAATGAAACTGTGTCAATCACCAACTTCACAGCCTTCTGGAATTCGGAGGAATTTCCCATTACCTTTTATATGAATAAAAAGTATTATTATTATTATGCATGATCACTGCTTCAAAAGAAGATGGAAAATGAAGAAAAGGCAAGCACACATTTTAGACCAACAGCTGCATTATGCAGATCCTGAACAGAGCCCTTCCAGCTCCTGCTAATAGACTTCCCAGGCACTGCCCATTACAAGACATTTAAAAGTGCATTTAAAACAAGAAGTTATTGCTGTTGGACAGTGGGGTTGCTTTGGGTTTGGCCTTTTTTTTCTTCTAATGTGGTCACAGTTCAGCCTCAGAGTAAAGGACTCTATGAGAATTGTTCAAGGATCCAGCAAGACCACCTTCAAGAGGTCATCAAATAAATTGATGCACTGCTACACCCCCCTTTTATCCTTCACCTCTTCCCTGCAAAAATCTGTTCTAAAGTACTACCTAACAGTAGTCATTCACAACCATAATCCCACCTCAATTCAAATGCACTGCAAACAACACCTGCAGTTCCATAAGCATTCTAAAAGAAGCTCTGTGCTAGTTCTGATTCTCAGTTTCCCTCACCTGGGAACTAACCAGCAAACAAACAGTGACAGACTCCCACTTTCCTAGCCTCATTTCCACTGCTGACAGCTGAGCAGAACAGACCAGACGTCCATATTTCCAAGGGCATCTGGAGTTTCTCATGCCTCTCAGAGCTTCTCATCCACCTGACTTCAACCCTTCAGAAAGTCATGACCACATCCTGTTAAGTCACTGCCTTCAGATTTTAACTAGCAACATGAATGCTCTTTGGCATTGTATCTCAGTTACATTAGCATACCTTTCAATTAATTTGCAAAATTCAGTTTGGTCCTTCCAGCTAACCTTCTGGACTTCCTTCCCGAGCTTTTGATTCAATTTAGCTCAAGGGGGCTCTGCAGTAATTCTGAAGTTCTATCATACAGTAGAAGTGCAGTTATAGAAGCAATTAAAGTCTCTGAAGGACAGATTAAAGTCTGTGAAGGTTAGCTAAGGGTTAGGAGATACCGAAGGCTGGAGAAGATATCAGAGATGCTGTTGTACACCTTTGTTCCCTGCCGGCCCGTTACTGCTCTCATCCGTGACAGCAGGACCTTCCTCCTTGCTAATTAACACTTCTTTGGGGCAACGTGTGTTCTGCCCAGACATGAACGTGGGAATAAAACCCAAGTGTTCTGGCAACTCACCGCTAGGGTATCCAGTGCATCTATCAGCGTTAGCGAGTAGTTTCCTAAGACATCGTTGATGTTCAGATTTGAGCTGCATAAAACAAGAGTCAGGCGTCAGGCAGCACGGCCAGCAGAGCTCCAGGGCGCTGCCACGTGACGCGAAGTCAGGCGAGGCGCTTCGGGGTGAGAGGCGACGGCCCGACGTCGTGCGCCATGAAAGGTTCGGGTCGGACAGCGGGACGGAGCCCCGCAGAAGGGCGGGCGTCGGCACGGGCCGCGCAGAGAGGGAGCGGCGCTCCCGGGCTGCTCCAGGAACGCGGAGACGCCGCTCGCAGCGGCAGAGGCCGAACCGACCCGGAGCCCCCCCTCGCGGAGGCCGGCCCGGCCCCCCCAGCCCCACTCACGGGTCGTCGCGGTCGGGCCCGCGGCCGCAGCAGTGCAGGGGGTCGAGCTCGTCGCTGGGGAAGGCGTGCTGCATGTAGCTGTCGTAGCCGAAGGCGAACATACCGCGGGCGGCGTCGCGCAGCCGTGCCCGCAGCTGCGGGGTGAACGCGGCGCTGTAACGCCTCTCGTACTCATCGCGCCCCGCCGCGCCGCCGCCGCCCCGCAGCGAACCCCAGTGCGAGGAGCCCCCGCCGGGAGGCGGCCGAGCGGCGCCGGGATGGCCGAGGGCGGCGGAACGCGGCGGGAAGGGGAACGGGAGGCGGAGGCGCAGGCAGAGGCCGGGCGCCAGCGCGGGGAGCAGCGCCAGCAGCGCGTGCAGCCCCAGCCTCAGCAGCAGCAGCCCCAGCACCAGCGAGCGCCATTGCATGGTCGCCCGCGCGCCGCGCGCATAGTTCCGACGGGCCGCCCGCCCGCGCCGCGTCTCCTTTGACGGCGGAAGAGAAACAGCGAACTCGGCGGGGAGGAGCCCGCCCCGCCCGCAGCCCGTTGGACGAAGCGCGGGCGGCCTTCGCTCATAGGCGCGCTGCGACGTCACTCAGGGCGGAGGGGACGGGGCGGCGGCCGGGGCAGTCGTGGCAGCGCATGGGCGGAGCGCGGCGCTTCCTGCCGCGTCGCGGCGGCTCACGGGGCGGAACCTCGGAATGTGGCCGCTTCTGCAGCGCGCCCCCTGGCGGCGGCGGCGGAGCAGCACCGGGGCCTTGCCGCCCTTCAGCCTGCTGGCTGCTCTGGGCTGCCAGGGAGGCTGGTGGGTCCTGGGGGTGCCTTCCCCGTGGTTTTCCGCCTTACGCACAGCGGCGCCGAGATCTGTACGGACCGAGAGGATCTCCTTGTTGGCCATAACGATGAGGAAAGGTTCCTCAGAGCAGAGAAGCCGCAGCAAGTTTACAGCTAAGCAGGAAGCCCCACGGCAGGCACGGCTGGGCCTCCCGTTGCAGCACCGACCCAATGCCAGTCCAAAGAAACACCAAGGAAGCCAAGAGCTCACTGCACTCAACCCAGAGCTCACAGCCCCTCTCCCACCCTGAAGCCATTGCTGGCCTCCTCCAGTTGCCACAGACACCGCTCTGAGCCCACAGCACTGACCCAGCCCTGCACCAACATTCAGCTCCTTCCCCCCCTCCCCCCCCAAAACTGAGAACATGAAGTCCAGAATCCAGTCTCATTTAGAAATTAACCTCAACCTTCCTCAAGTATATATTCCAGACCACTACTTTATGACAGCGTTTAAAATGGGGTCAGTCCAGGATAAAGATGTTGGTTTTGCCACCTGAGAAGCAATAGCACCTTCTCTCCTAACTGTGAATCCAGTGCTGCGAGCTGGAGCCTCTCCCAGGTAATCCAAATAACTGAAATTTGCTAGTTTACAACTTAATAAAGTACACAATTCTAACAACCACAATGGCAGCTGCCCTGCCACAGATGAATATGCAAAAGAATGTTTTTTTTTTTTCAACAACGCTTTTATTGAAGCACTTCAAAATGATCACAATGATAGATGTTGCCTTTAACAGAATAAAGCCTGCAATGTCATAAGTAAAAGGCACTAATCCTGGCACAAAGGTCTACTTACCAACCTTCCTCTGAGATGGAAACAAAGCCATCACATTTCTACTTCTCCCTTAGGAATACGTGCATACCCCTTCTGAGTGCCACCCTGTGTTTGTTGTTTAAGCAACATGTAGAAGAAATCCCTGATGTTTCACCAAGGCATACTTTAACTTTCAGCATCTGTGGTTCCGAAGTAACAGACAACCTTCAGAAGTCTGAGATTCCATGACACACGTCATTCTGAATGCATAATTTTGGAACAAAACTCCTGAATTCCTTTTCTTGCTGCTCGTGTAGCTGGCAGCACACTGCCCTCAGCAAGGTGCCTTAGATAATCTGACTTCCATCCCGCTCAGTATTCACACAGCTCTCTAGTGTATGGTCAGTGCAAAACCAAGCCAGCAGGGAGCAGAGCTGAGGCACGCTGCCCAACAAGAGCCGTGGTTTAACATTCACAAGGCACACAACACACTAAGCAAATCATGACATGCCAGCACACCCATTGCACAGCCAGAGTAACTATACACAATTGGACGTTAGAAAAGTTCACTTGATAATCCAGCTAAACCATACTTCAGTCATTCCAGACCCCTGCATGATGCTCATTATTTTAACCAGAAAGGCTGCTTAAGGTTTGGCCTCCTTTCTTCCACCAGAGTTTTTCTTAACCTACCAGCATTCAAGAGGATGGCATTTCCAACCCGATTCCACAAAAATGTACAAAGAATAAAAAAACAGGGCCATAAAACAGCTTCACCCACACCTGTGCATTTCTCCCATTGCCAAGTGCTTTGGCAGAAGTGCACCGTGCAACTGCTGGGACGCTCAGCTGCACCAGGGCTGTGTCAGCTCTACAGTGGGACACAGGACCCACCAGCCTCCCTGACACAGCACAGGGCAGCCAACAGGGCTGTAACACTTCATCACAGCCCAGTGCTACGGGGGCATGCACAACTATTTCCTCCCTTCAGGAGCCTGCTGCCCCACAGTCAGTAAGGGGGATCACTTAGTGCTTAAAGCTGACATTCTTTAGAGTTGACAGCTATTTCAAACAAGGACACAGGACAAGACTGATGCACCACACAGCCGTACAGGTACGACCGATGTCTGATTTGTGTGCATATCCACGACTAAGAGCTGTGAAAAGACAGACAGAACCAGGGATAAGACCCACCTTTCTTCATACAATAACGGCCTACTGCAAATACATCAGAAGAGAGGTTGCTCACTACAGAGCCAGAGTCAAGCAATCATCAGGGAACTCAGATTGGCCCAACAGATTTCTGTAACGCAACTACTGCAACCAAATTCAGCAGACAGCTCCTCTCATTTTCAGAGCAGAAAGTGCTTAGCCCTGGATTTAACTATGCCAGAAGAGCAAGTTGTTGTTTCAGTCCAAGAAGGCAGAGAGAGCAGCCTCCCTTCTCTGGAAAGACTTACTGCACTTCTATTCCATACCAAAACAAGGGTGATCAACAAGTTCATCAAGCCTCCAGTAAACAGAAAGTGCAATCCTCAGCACTGGATTCACATCATCACTTTAAGGGCTACATTTCTGCCTTGTAAGTAACCAAGAGCTTCTAGAACAGCAGAATAGCTGTGAAAACCCAAGTAGAGTCATTTTGTGAAGTAACAAAAACCAAACATTTCTGAATAGTTCATTTACAGGTGGCCAAGTAGCAACTATGATATTTAAATGCCATCCCAAGCAATGGGCCCTGGGCCAAGTTTGCACTGCAGCTTATTTAAATGACCGACCAGGTTGACAAATGTTACAACAGCAATACTGTAACAAGGCATGCTCTCTTTGACTGGAGCCTCAGGTTGTGAACACTGCGTGCAGGGATCTCCCATCAACTGAAGAAAAACGCTTTTGATCTTTTACTCAACAGTTCCCTGCTCTCCCCACACACCCAGTTACAAAAGATGCTGAACAACCAATACTCAGAGCTAAGAGCCAGCTCGCTACAGCTCAGGAAATGTAAAGGCTTACATGGAGGCAGAGCACACAGGAGACATTTAATTTGTTACCATTACTGGGAAGATGCTGGCATAGCATCCTACAGGTTAATGGGTCACCTAAGAGAAATGAATGAAATGATGCTGGGGAACAACAGTACTGGGGTACAGCTTCAGATATTGAAGAAAAAAGGTGTTCTGTTGGAAACCACAGTCAATGAAAGCCTCACCTTTCAGTGAGATACAAAACTCGATGCTTTAATTGGTAAGAAACAATCAGACGCTGCTAGATCTGATCCCTGTGCTAGAAAAGCCACGACTAGTTTAGATGACAAGAAACAAGATTTTAGATATGAGTACTTTTATCTCTAAAAACACAACTCCAGAAGGCTGACCTGCTTACGACCCTTCAGCTGATTAATAAGTCCTTTTCACAGGCACGAAAAGCACTGAGGACTGCTGAGACGGACTCTAGTTAAGCCTTTTTATGTAAGCTGAGAAAGCCTCGGGCCTGAAAGATAGTTCTGTAAGCATTTCACATCAGTAGTGCAACCACAGAAGATGAGGAAGCTCAGGTATTCACTGCACCTCTTTGCCCATTTAATTTTAATCAGAAGCAGCCCGCAATGCCATGAGTTAAGCACATCAACTCCAGTCAGTCGGTTAAGCGTCAATACAACCCTCAAAACAGAAGTTTATTGAATAAAGCTGAAGAGCAGTAAACCAACATATGCATCCACCTAAATAAAAAAATCCACGTATTTACAAAGTTCAGTAATTGTATAAGTTGTTCACATGCAGAGAGTAATGCACAGGTTAACAGTTGGTAGTGTTTGGATGCCATAAATACTGAAAGCAGTGAAGTAGATAAACACCAAACACATCGAGTTTACCTATAGGCCAGTTAACTAAACAGTGACCTGGTCCCCCACAAAGATTCACACATTCTAGTTTAGTTCCCATATTTTAGGCACAAGCAAGTTTGATAGATAAGAGTAACTGTAGCAGTTCACAGTGAACTAGGGACTACAGTAGCAAGTTAATAGACCCTCTCCTCTACAGCACCAGATGATGAATTAATCGAAATCACACGTCAGAGAACTGAAAGGGGACAAGAAGTTAAACCAAGTTCAGACCGAATGCAGGCAGCACGTAGTGTCTGTGCAACAGCTGTACGAACAGTAAGGCCGTGGTAGTCCAAACTAAAACTGATTTGTCATTACTGATACGGACAAAGCAGTGTTTTCAACCAAAGTAACGCAAACTCCACATTTAGGTAAGGAAGAATCACACACAGTGTGAGGCAATGCAAGCAGGTGTATCATGTATTTGTATACACTAGCAAGCTACACTGACATTACTGTATGAACAAACCAGTCTTCACAAGTCTGTCCCTTTAAATATATTGAAGTCATTGAGAAAGTAAAGCTACAAAAACATTACAATCTTTAGTTTATATATACTTCCCTACACTGTAGAAGCTAGTCAAGAAATAGGATCGATTCGTTGGCTCTCTTGTGCTTTGACACAGTTGAACATTTCACCTTGCCACTTACAGACTTTGCACATGGTTACATCAAGAAAGCAGGCAGCTCTAGAGTTGTCACAATAGCTGAGATGTTTCATAGCACCAGGTGAAACCGTGCCCAGCTATTCATTGAGCAGGAGAGACACTAGACAATTACATAGATATTGTGCTAAAGGTCAACAACCGACTCTATACAAAAACATCAGTAATTTAAGTGTCATGCAGCCGCTCAGAATGTGTATTCTGGTTTCAGATAGAGATCACTAGAATCCAAAGATAGAAACATGTGTTTGAACCAAGCGATTTGTTCTCATGCTGGAATACTCCGATTTGGAAAGCTTGACAGAACAGTCCATTC